AGAGTTTCTTTCTTGCTTAGGTGGCCTCTCTTCCCACAGTTCGAGCACTAGAGAGAGTTTCTTTCTTGCTTAGGTGGCCGGCCTCTCTTCCCACAGTTCGAGCACTAGAGAGAGTTTCTTTCTTGCTTAGGTGGCCGGCCTCTCTTCCCACAGTTCGAGCACTAGAGAGATTTGCTGAAGACTCAATGTTTTATTTCTCTTCAGTTGAATTCTTTAAATAACAAATGCAATTACAAAAATAGAAAAACTAATTACAAAAAATAGAAAAGTGGGCAAAGACTTCGCCCAAGTTGGCCAAAAATGGCAACTAGAATTACGCTCTTCCATTGGCGTGAATTCAGACCTAAGGAACATAGTTTTTATTTAACAAAGGCAACTGGTAGACACATCAAAGCTTTACGATCCAATAGAGGTGGCGAGTATACTTCGACGGCTTTCATGGAGTATTGCAAGGAGCAAGGCATAAGGCAATTTCTAACCACACTATACACCATTCAACAAAATGGTGTGGCCGAGAGAAAGAACTGGACCATTCTTGACATGGTTCGATCAATGCTCAAGAGCAAAAGGATGCCAAAGGAATTTTGGGCAGAAGTCGTGCAATGGGTCATCTACGTACGAAATTGATGTCCACATGCGAAGTTAGATGATCAAACACTACAAGAGGCTTGGAGTGGACAAAAGCCTAAAATCTCTCATCTCAAAGTGTTCGGTAGTGTGGCTTATGCTCACATACCGGATCAACGAAGATCGAAGCTCGAAGACAAAAACACAAGGTATATTTTTATTGGATATGATTAGAAGACAAAAGGATACAAGCCACTTGACCCGATAAGTAAGATGGTGATAGTGAGTCATGATGTGCGAGTAAATGAAGCAAGTGAATGAGACTGGAAAAATTCGACGGAAGTTAATATCGAAGTTGGAGAATTATCAGTCGTTGCACCAACAAATGCACCAACAGACTCAGAAATTTTCGATGATGAAGATGAACCACGACAACCCAAAAAGCGAAGCTTGCGAGACTTGTATGATTCAACAAATGAGGTACACCTTGTATGTCTTCTAGCAGATGCTAAAAATATTAGCTTTGAAGAGGCAGTGCGAGACAAGAAGTGGCAAACTGCCATGGATGAGGAGATTAAAGCGATTCATCGCAACAATACATGGGAGTTGACAGAATTATCGGAAGGAAGTCTGCCCATTGGTGTGAAGTGGGTATTCAAGAAAAAATGAATGCTTAAGACAAGATAGAGTGGTACAAGGCACGACTTCTTGCGAAGGGATACAAGCAAAAGGCGGGAATCGACTATGACGAAATGTTTGCTCCCGTCGCAAGAATGGAGACAATCCGATTGCTCATTTTCCAAGCAGCTCAATTCAAATGACCGATTTTTCAAATGGATGTCAAGTCGGCATTCTTGAATGGTGTGCTTGAAGAAGAAGTCTACCTCGAACAACCACCTGGGTACATGAAAATTGGAGAAGAGAAGAAGGTACTAAAATCGAAGAAGACGCTTTACGGGTTGAAGCAAGCACCGCGAGCATGGAATACTCTTATCGATACATACTTCAAGGAGAACGGGTACAAGCAATGTCCCCACGAGCATACAGTTTACACAAAGAAGAGTGGAGGTAGTGTGATACTTATTGCTCTTTATGTCGATGACCTCATTTTTCAAGAAACAATGATGTAATGATAGAAAAGTTTAACAGCACAATGACACGAGAATTTGAGATGACAGACTTGGACTTGTTGAAGTTTTTCCTTTGTTTGGAGGTTAAATAAGGAGAGACAAGTATTTTTATAGCACAGAAGACATATGCAAAGGAGATTTTGAAGAAGTACAAGATGGAAAATTGCAACCCGGTATCAATACTAATGGAACCAGGTGCAAAACGCTCAAAGTACGATGAAGGAGAACGAGTAGATGCAAGTAGGTACCGAAGCCTGGTAGGAAGCCTTCGCTATCTTACATGCTAGATCTTTCATTAAGTGTCGGCATAATAAGCCGGTTCATGGAGGAGCCAATTTATTCACATTGGAAGGGGTTGAAGCGAGTCCTACGGTACATCCAAGGAACAGTGTCACTTGGGTTATTCTACTTGAAAACAGAAGATTACAAGTTAGTTGGTTACTCTGACAGTGATTGTGTTGAGATATGATTCAAAGTATTCAAAATTGAGATATGATTTAAAGTAGTTGAGATATTGTAACTCAAAAAAAAAAAAAAAAAAAAAAAAAAAAAAAAAAAAAAAAAAAAAAAAAAAAAAAAAAAAAAAAAAAAAAA